AATCCAAGTTTTCCGTGATGATTAGTTAGTACATGCCACGTATGAGTCGGATCAGTGCGGTCGTTGCATTGTAATGCCAACGTTCTATCCACTGATCGCGGTCATGGCGCCGCTGATGACATAGCTCTAGCATATTCAGGCCGAACCGATGGTTTCCAAAAAACGAAACGACTCGACAAATTGCAAGAGTCGAAGGAGGCACTTACTGTGACGGACGGACGAACTACTGGTCTTTCTTCCCAGTCAAATCTCAGCGCTCTGCATACCTCTTGTCTTCACGTACTCATTTTTTTCTCATTGATCAAACTGACACTGTTATCTTTTCAGGTGATTTGAAATAAAGTTTCACCACCAACGTGTTAGCCCAGCTGCAGCCACTCATCGTGTTGAAGAGCCAATGCATCTTGATTTCTTGTCAAGAGCGTCGGACATGGTGGTTCACTACAGTGACTCAGCAGGCCAACTCAGTTCGTGTACGGCAAATATCGTGTGGAAGGGGCGTTCATCGAAAGCCATAAGCTGAAGCTTGTGGCGTTGTTAACGGACATTCTGAGAACAAGTTACAGCTATCATGCTGACGTCACGAACGGCGAGCATGGCTTCTTTCAGGCAAGAAGTTCTTTGCCTGATACCTTGCAGATCGCTGGAGCTGTAAACGAAACTGGACCAGGAGCGTATCGGGCTTCTCCACGTCGGCCGTCTTCTGCAGGAGTTTTTTCTTCGCGCAGGTGACCTTACGTTTTTGCTGGATTTGACACGCAATGTCTACAAACATTTCTCGTGACCGCCCTCATCTCCGCAGGTAGTGGGTAGCCTACCTCTGTTCTCCGTTGACTGGGTCGACGGCTACTAGCAGTCCTTCATTAAACCATCATCCCACGTCTGTCACCTTTGTGATTCACCCACGTGTTGGTCCCCGTGCTCAGGCCTCAGGCCTCAGGGACTATTCATTTACCATTCATTACCTCAGGCCCTCTCCCATCTTCTCACACTATCTCAGGACAGTCGACATTCAATATTCAAGCTTCAATCAATTCATAAACAATGATATCGTAGATTCCCACGACTACCGAAGAAGGGCCTACGATGTTATCCCCAACCTCTAATGCAATGAAGGTAAAGAACAACGCCTTGAGCTCTAACTGCATTCGTGCTCCTCGAACGACGTTTCTTAAGTTGCAGCCAGAAGACTACTCGTCTGTTTCGGTTCGTACATATACCGGGGGGCGAGTTATCCAGAGACTAGGGATATCCACATGTCCCTTGTTTAGTAGCTGAATTCGCCGAGAAGGCCTATGGAGAAATCATCCGTCCTGACCAGCTTTTGCACGTCTCTCACCATCCGATGTGCTCGCTCGTACCGTCACCTCTTTGTATGATAACTTGAAACCAAAGTTACTTTTCAGCCGCGTCCTCCTTACTTCATCTCCATTCTTAATTGGAACCGCCGGCATTCGATATTCAGCTTCCGATCGCGGCGCAGACCCCGGGCCCCGGCTGTTTTATTATTTCCTCGGTTCGGCGGCGAAAATTTGGAGCCAGTCGGTCATTGATCAATTGCTACACTTGACCCACTAGTCAGATGCATCTATCCGAATCACGACCGAGACTTACAGGTCTTTCGAGCTTTGTTACCAATATATTCAAGTCAGTCGTCCATGTCTGCCATGGGACATTCCAGTCCAGTATGAGGCACAGTACCGTAACGGTCCGAATGGTATCCCCAGGTTAAGAAGAAAAGGAACGTGCATTTAGTCCATGACCTGTCATGCAAGTCATGTCATTCAGGCATCTTGTAGCGGACTGACGGCGACTCGATACGCTGCAGTTGTATAGCTGGGACATCTTCCTACCAAATCAAAAGCTGGTCTCGACTCTGGACTCTTCAATAACTGCAATGATACTATCGAGTGCGGAAAGACGGAGAAACACCAAGGCGCTAAGATCATAGAAGGTGCTTCCTTGATTCATGATAAGTAGATGTTACGGTTTGCTCTTGAATAAGGGGTTTATTTATGAAATCAGCTTTGCCAAGAGTCATGGGAGCGAACTCATTTTCACAGGAGAACGTTCCAGGGATCACCAGGGCACAAGTCCAATGATCAAACATGGAACGGGTTGGTATTGCATCAACCTGTCCGGGCAGTTGGCGGGCTATAATACCGCCAACTTCTCATGGTTCATGCTTACAATCAATACAACCATGACAGCAATGGAACTTACGAAAGGGTAGTAACCCCGTGGACCGTTGTCGAAACAGATAAATAGCACAGCTCTGCTGATACCATCTTAACACACTCCTTCATTCTCCAACTTGACGGTCTCTGTGCCGTTAATAACTGATCAGAAGCTTCAAGCAGTTCTCAACCGCTAATAAGATGGTAGACTGGAAATCGGGGGAAGTGATCCAGATGGATTCCAGTGCGTATCGGTTATATTTACATGGGTTTTACTTATCCGCCCCTCAGTGATCTTCCTGAAGTTAATGCATGCCCTCCTTGGTCTATACTTGTGAGAATTTGTTCGCGCAGTGATGATTATGATCTGATAGACGAAGCTCAGATGGGAATTCTTTATCTCTCTGGACTTCGAATGGGCTGTCATGACAGGCAAGACGAGGTTCCGTTGGCCACTGGTGAGGACATGTCTGGTGCTTTGTTGAAATACATTCCTGAACCTGCCGTTCACCAGATTTTCTACTTTGCCGGTCGGTATCTTCTTCTTTTTGCACTCATTGGAATGTAAGTGTGCCATTCTTTCGTTCCACCATTTCTTACTCTTCACCTAGTGCTGTAGCCCTGGATACACCAAGGTATGTTGCGACGTCAATTCTCGTCTCTCGATAAACTAAACAGTTCTGTTTACCACTAGCGAAATCAATTGTCAAGCACTTTATGCCTTTAATCAGGTGAGTTCATATCATGGGAAGAATAGCATAGAATATCATTCCATTTAGCTGGCTGGCAATGCAGGCAGTCGGACTCGCGAGCATCAACCTTTCTGTCCGGACGTGAGTCAAGGATTGATCATGTGACATGCCTGTCTTATTTGGTGATAGGATCGTTATTTGGTCTCAGAACACTTGGGTCGTTATCCTCCTGGTGTTAATTATTATCGGGCATTGGTCCCTCATCCTGCAAGGTATACCACCTTCTCACAAGCTCATGAAACTAGCTGATCGAGTGTCCTTGCAGGTATCCTTCTAACTGCCGTCTGGCTTCCCGGCGTCGGTTGTGCAATCACTTACAGCGATACCACTATCCTTGCTGCCACTTTCATTTATTCAATGTGTTTCGACTTTGTGGTCTTGTGCCTTTCGGCATACAAGCTAGCCTGGACTCATACGCGGAGTGGCACGAGCATCGCACCCTCCAGACTTGTCAGGATGTTGTTCTCTGATGGCTTGATATATTTTTTTATCGCGTACGTCTGTTTATTTCCTCTCCAGCTGGTCAACACATAACACATCCTGCGTCAGGTTCGTGTCCAATGTGATCGCAACAATTATGATGGTGCTCAACTTGAACACCATCATGAGTGTTATTTTCAACGTCCCAGCTGCTATTGCTTCAACAGTGAGCCTGGTTTCTTATATGCTCGTCTTCTTGCTAGACTATTGGATGCAGATTGTAGCATCTCGTGTTGTTAGGCGGCTGACCAACTTCCAGCGTTCAGGAGTAGAGATGATGTAAGTGTATTTTGCTATATATGGATACGTCGGAGCTGCTACACTGTTCACTTTTTAGTAGCCACCCTCTGGAAAACTGCGGTACAGCATTCAAGAACACTGATGCAGGACTTTCTAACCCGGTTAGCACACCAAGGACTGCTGGCGTTCATGTTGAGGTGGGTAATAAATCCATGTAGTGTGCCTTTCTTCCCTCATCGATGTCACTGTGCACAGATGGACGCCTTTACACGTGCAGCGAATTTTGACTATCGTAGTGTCCATCGCACCGCGTCTTCAGCAGCAAGCTACAGTGAGGACCATAAGCCAGTTCAGGTAGTTTAACGTAACTCTCGCATTGCTTGGGCATCTTCGATGACCCTGAGGCAGTCCTGCGAGATGCTTTTGTGTTTATTTTCATTTGGACTATTCTCAGAAATTTAAGTTGTTGATTATTTGCCCAACAACGTACTTCGAAGGTACTGCTATTGTTCCTCTCCAATAACATTCAGACGCCAGGTACACATGATGAGCCCAAAATCGGAGTCGGTCTTATCTACAGTGCGATCCATACTTTCGGATGATTCAGACATGATTATGAAGACTCTTTACCCCCCTTTAACTTATTCATAATGAGCTGTCATTTTTGCAGATTATGCAGAACTTAGTACCAGTATTGTGGAGATTTTCGGTGCCTTCAAATTCATTATTTCTTACTGGTGCGCCTGCCTTCTACAATTCCCGAGCTGACGAGATCATTCGCTGGAGTTTACCATTATCCGATTGTCTTTATTGCTCGTAGGGCTACCAAAGCCACTGATCACTCATGAACAGCTCGTGTGTTGTGCCAGTGACTCAGTCGCTACTAGTATTAGTAGCGTCTAAGACTAAGAGCGCTAAATATCAAATTTACCGCATATTACGTATGTGGCCAACTTTTCTTCTTTTCGTTTGTCCTGAACCCTATCGACTTTTGACTCACATTTTCGGTCCAAAGGCCTGCTGGCGGGTGGAAATTGCAATGGAAGCTGCATTCCAATCCTGGCATGGCACGCTTGGCCAATCTCAATTCTTCAAACCATATTTCCAACGAATGAAAATATTCGATACTTCTCGAATCCCACACTCGGCGTACACCAATACCGCGCTTTTATATCATGCTGATGCGGTATCTGATACATATCACCGTCCAGGCGCTATGTCTGACATCTGACACGTATCCCATCACTTCGCTGTCCAGGTGCCATGTCTAACACCTTCACACACTTTGAGATCTCAGCCCGGAGGGATCGGTACTACTGCCAACTGGCACATATGGTTTTGTCCATCAAACCAAGGAAACGTTCACCGTCCAGGCGCATTTACCCAGTGGCCCCCCGCCAACCCAGTGGCCCCCCACCCAGTGGCCCCCGCCAGCCCACATCATGACTCGTAGTGCCCTCCAAGCTAGGAATGGGAGAGTTGGCACGGTGGGCCTCCTTGCAAGCTCGGTCTAATAAAAAGGCGTTTCCAGGAGCCCCAATCTGCAGTGAACGCAACCCCAATACTCCTATGGCAAACAACGGATCTCCGCAGGTCATTTTTTCTTTCTCACTGGACGTCGCGGCGGCTGAACTTTTTTTGCAGCATTTCCATTCTCTCGGCGAGACATTCCAATGCTTGTGGGATGGTGAATTCGCCGGATTTCATTGCAATAATTTGATATTTGGGTACGATACGTCAAGCCATCTCCGAGACCGTCACGGAATTAGGGGCCCGGATGACCTCCATGTCCTTTGCCGTTTTTTGGGTTGTAACACGATGATTAAAAAACAAAATCTTGCATGGCATGTGCAAGCAAACCATTTCGGGATCAGGTATTTTTGCAACACCTGCAACCAGCCATTCACGTGTACATACAACCTGGAAGTGCACAAGAGAAGCTGTTCTTATGTCAGGACTTTCTCTCCCTCATGTATTACGGGCGCTAATTATTCAATTTTAGGAGAGTATGTAGATGCTGAAGCAGCCGGCAGGAACGGCGGACTGATGGGGATAGGGGGACGGAGAAATGGGAGGGGACACGGGTGTCCCCTAGATCTACGTATAGACCTGTATCTCAAATTGGCAAAAATGTGGACTCTCAAAAAAGCCGTAGCGGGCCAGTAACTGAGTGTTACAACACTTCTTGTAAGATATATCGAACAAGTTATGGTTAACGTCACGTGCTAAAGCGTGATGAAGTGTGACAAAACCAATGATCACTCATAGGATACTTGCGACAGCAAAGAGAAGAAAAACTGAAACGGAAAATCTATATAATGTGTCCTTCTGCGTACTTGACCCGTTTTAAAATTGTCATTTGTGTTGAATTGCAAGAGGAGATGGTCACTGTGTTCTCTTAGCTGGCGCTCAGTGACTGTCACGGTGCCATCTTCAGTAAGTTTGCACAAGACCGTCATCAATTTGCTGATCGTTCGGATCAGCTTACATTCTACATAGTAATCGTGTCTTTACAGAACTTAAAGGACGTTGTAGACGATGAAGAAACTCGTAAACGCGGATTTCCTCAGGGTGGCTCATTCAAGTTATTGCAATACAACATTGTGTTACTCACAGAAGATCAGTCTGCCATAATACATGCTGGCGTTGGAGAACTGGAAACCCCAGGCGAAGGTTTTGGGGGGTAATCATGCTTTTAGGTGCGTGATTGGCAGGCAAAATCACGGTCGAAACGTGACCTGGCTGTTTCCCCAGGAATCGACCGGAAATGTCCTTTTTGGGAAGGGAATCCCGCCCTTCTGGTTTGCTCGCCCGCCACCTCCTTGTCATTGTCGTCGACATCGTCGCTGTCTCCATCTCAAGCCCATTACTCCAGTGTTATTGGCGCGAAAATCGTTTCACGCCAAGATTTATCTTCATGGTCCATCCACTGGCAATGGATGTCGACCGCAACAACAACAATATTAATGCTATTGACCCTGCCTTACTTGCGCTGGCCAATCACAGCGTGCCATCAGTGGCACTCGGACCTGTGCGAAGTCGGCCATCCCGCCGTCAGCGAGGTGAGCTTGTTTTTTTTCGGAGGAGGGGGGGAGGGGGAATTCATTGTATGTACTGGTACTAACAAACTCACACAGCTAATCCCTACACCGTGCCATCTCGCAGCGAGTCTCAAAACCCTGCTGGACAAAGCCTATCTGGAGGAGGAGAAAGTGCTACCAGGTCAGTGGATCCTTCATCCGAAACTCGTTGATACTGATGACAGACATTTATCAGCGCCAAATCGACGGTGAAGCAACTCCAGCAGTTGTGCCGCGAGCGGAACTTGGGCACACGAGGAAGGAAGGCTGACCTTGTTGCACGGCTCGCAGCACACCCAAGGTATGTGCATGTGGACTTGTCTTTTTTTCTCGTCCTTCATCACACACTCCCCTGGCAGCGCTCCCAATCCAGCCCTCGCATCATCTACCCCCTCGATTATCAGCACTGTGCCTGTGCCAGCCGAACCTGGCAGCCCAACGTCCCCCACCCAGTCATCTGAGTCTGCATCTACCCAGAAGCTTGATGAGATTGACACCCTCACTGCGCACGATGCAAGTCAGCTGGCTCACTCATTTCAAGATGCGTTCGACGGTGGTGAAAGCGGCCGCATAGAAGACGACATCGACGATACTGGTGCCAATGTCCCTGATGGTCAAGATGATGATGAACTGCTGGTTCATGCGAGCAGTAAGCATCGTGATTTGTGTGTCTGGCCTTGTACTGATTGCTTCCAGGCCAGCGCATGCATGCAATCAACACAGCGAGAACATGGGTCAGTGTGCATGTTTTCCTGGAAGTTGCAATGTCGGCTAATGGTCATTTTGTAAGGTCGACGAATTTATCATGAGCACGCGCCGGAAAAGTGGACAGAATACAGAGAAAAGTGTCCTCAACATATGGAAGGTAAATCTTGACAAATATCATTTTCGGTGGCTGCATTCTGACATTTCTGCTAACTAGCGCTGGTTGACCACCGCAATCGCATCGGGACAAGTCCCGGATGTGATCATTGATGCGCACCACATCATTGAGTACCTGAAGTACACTGGCACCCGCAAACTGCTCACCCGAAACGGTGGTGAACAAGATCGTGCAAATGGATCTCTGTCTGCGGTGAGTTTCCTTTTCAAATCAACTGCGCTGTGCTCCCTTGCTGACCAAATACAAGAGCTCCCTCAAGAAGACAATGTCAATGCTTGGTCGTGTTCGGCGCCGCCAGGTTGATGATAACATGTCTCTTGAGCAGGCACGACCAGCATTCACTCCACGTATCTCGGACTTCTACAAAGCACTGATGGTTCAAGCACAACGCCTCCGCCTCGAGTAAGCTTCTCCACACTCCTAGCTGACCTCTCTACTGACTTTCAACATTCATTTCTAGGCGTGAAGACTTTGATGTCACGGAGAACACAATACTGGACTCCCACCTATTTCCTGAACATTTTGAGCAAGTCAAGAAGTCCGTCTTCACAACCCTCACTCAATGTAAGTCCCTCTGTCGTGCTCGCACAAGATCACCACCCATCTTTGGCTTCCTCAGTGCCATCTATCATCAAGGCTCATCAGTGTTGGACATGGCAATGCACCACGTTGAACCGGTGTAGAAACAACAATACAATGAGGAACAAAAGAAGCTCCTGACTGTATCTGTAAAAGTTGTAAGGTCGCGCGCTGCCTAGTCTGCGTTACTTGAGAAGCAAGTGCGTTCGACCCTATAGGGGAAGTGAGTGCAGCAAGGATCTAGAAGTGTGCGCTTAAGCGAAGTGCGAGAAAGCGCAGGTGCGCGCAAGGTACAAAGGCGCGGGAACGCGCGCGCGTATGCGGAAATGAGAAACTAAGCTTAAGTAGTGATATAAAGCAAGATAAGAGATATAAGAGTGCAAAATGTAAAGGAATAGCTTTCTACTATATTCTGCTAAGTAGTAAGTGGGTAGTAACTAGTAAGTGAAAAGTAGGAAAAGTAGGTCCCGTGTAGTATGTACTGCTGGCGCTTATATAGCGCGCCTAAGCGCGCTCATGCGGAGCCGAAGCGCTACCGAGTAGGTATGTAAAAATATATATGAGTGAGAAACTATGATAAAAATAAAGGTGGAACTATGCTAATAAAGGAAATGGAAATATACGCACTAGGGAGCTTGGTGGACAGTGGATGGATGCATCTGGATGGCTGGCGCTATAGGGCGCGCAAGCGCGGGAATGGTGCGCGCATGGCGCGCGTTGCGCCGGAAAGCTGCGCGTCATATAGGAATCACTGTGGATGGTACACAGAGTGATGCTGCGAGTTGGTGCTGTATACTCCCTAGTGTAAAGCGCCATATCACACTATGAGATGCACGAGTCTCTACACCGGGGTGATGAGCTTGTCAACCTTCCACTATCCTGCATCCAACCATACAAAGTCTTTGTTCCGGACTACACGACAGCAGATGGGAGGAGAAGCGGGAGTGGGCAGTTCTTTTTTGGTGTTCTTTCACTCTACCACGAGATCAAGGCTGCGAAGCCTGGCGTGAGCATCTGTGATCTCATTGGCTGAGTGCTACTGTATTTACGAGTCACTTTACCTTCCTGTAGAAGCAGGAGCCTGACTACAACTTTGTGCTCCCACACAAGGACCCGCTGAAGTGCCCAATCGGGGCCCTTGCAATCTCACTTCATTATCAATTTGACCAAGAGGGCCTGATGAGCAAGGTTCATGGCTGGGACTGGTCGCGGTCACCCACATGGCGCGAGGTTAGGTCATTTTTCTGATCAGTATATCAGAGATGTTGTGCTGAGGGCTCTGTAGGTTAAACTCATGTTCGGAAAGCATGTCGGACAGCCATCAAGCGGCGACGCTCTGCGGAAAATGTACACCACTATGTTGGGCCCAACGACAATAACATCAAAGAAAAAGCTGCATCTTGCTCGCCGTACGATGCCGAGCATGATGGAGGACATGGGGTCTGTGATTTTCAGTGTATTCTTCAGAGCTTTATTCACTGACGGCCTTCAGGGTACATGCTGATGAAGTTGATGCCATTGGCCACTGGGAAGGAAACACACGTCGCGAGACATATGCTGCGAAGATCCCGAAATCAAACGTGAATTTGACATTTGTTCTACAATTACAGGCTGTCTGTGCCCTGGCTGGGTTCTACGTCGGAGAGCAGTATAGTGTTCCATGGGCAACAACTGATGTCCCGGCTGAGCTACAGATGCAAATATTTCCCTTCGTCGAGGATGCCCTGGCCAATCTCCGCCAGGCACCTGGTACCAACTATGGCACCATCAATTTCCTCAAGTTGCTGCAGCTGCTTCGTGGCTACTTCTGGCGGGTGAGAGCTCCAAAGCCACTAAAAGTGTCTCTGGGTCTGATATGACGTACTTCACATACCAGGTCATTGCTGCAATCCACGAGTCATTCCCAGACTCTGCTCTTCTGAAACGGCTGCAGGTCATTCAGTCTAGTGAGGCCAAGATGTTCCTTCAGCAATGGCCAAGGGCCAGGGAAGCTCTCGAGGCCACTGCACAATCTGACCTTGCTATCAGCAGTTCATTTGGAGAGGCTGCCACTCAAAGCGCCTTTGTGTCTCTCGCAAACTCTCAGCGCCAATCGGATACCACCATAAACACTGTCCTCTCCCACTGCAACCGGCTTCTTCGACGGACAGAACCACTCTCCCCATTGAAGAACTATGACAGAGCCAGGTTCTCACCTGTGGCTGCGTCCAGTGTTGGCTGCAGCACCATGCGCACTGCGGGTCCTGATGTTTCAAGGCCACCAATGGCACAAGGAGACACCTGCCAGCATCCTCCTCCTCTGTCTCAGACTAATAAGCACAGAGCTTGCACTGCTGAAGAATCGACACCCACACTGCATCTGCAGCCCAATATGAACCCAGTAACCATTGTCCGAGACAGCCGCTCCTTCCATGTGTTGCCACTCTCACCAGCAATGCCCCCCGACTTCCATTCAGGTCGCGATCTCATCATTCCATCAGCCGAGGCCTTCTGTGACCCCATCACTGCATCTGTACCACAGTTCCCTCAGTTCACGGCTTGAAACTGTAGCTGGAGCTCCATCTTCGAGATGGTGAAGCAACCATCCCTCCTTTGGGCCTGCTGGCATCCTCATAACCTTGGTGAATACCACACCATCAAACAACTCTGGGCGGCTTGGCATGAGGGCATGATTGTTGA